TCAACCCTCAACCCTAACCTAAACCTCCGAGAAGGGGGGGGGGGGTCAGCTTCAGTTTGAGTTTCCCTAACAAGGCTTGGACGGTCGATCCCTGGGAGGAGGGAGGGAGGGAGGGGGGGGGGGGGGGGGGGGGGGGCTTCACTTTCAGTGTCAAGTGGCAATTTAGGGTTTAGGGTTTAGGGTTTAGGGTTTAGGGTCTGTTCCGAGGCGTTACGGTCGATCCTTGAGAAGGGGGGTCAGTTTCAGTCTCAGTCTCAGTCTCCCATCACGAGACGTGCACGGTTGATCCCCAGAAAGGGGTCACTTTCAGTTTGAGTTTCAGTGTATGTTGAAACTCCCACCGTTTTCTTTCGGGGGGCTTTCCAGCTTCAGTTTCAGGTCCCATCACGGCCGAGGTTTGGAGGGTCGATCCCCAAAAGGGGGAAGGGGGTGGGGCAGTTTCAGCTTGCAACCGAAATGGTTTCAGCTTGGGTTTCGGTTTCAGTTTCCGTTCGGTTTCGCTTACTTTTGGGGCCGGGGGGTGGACAGTTCCAGTTTAGGTTTCTGTTTCTGTTCAGGTTAACTAAATGTTGTTGAGGGGGAGATCAGCTTCAATTCGTAAACAGAAACTGAAACGGTTTCACTTTCAGTTTCGGTTTGGGTTTCGGTTCATTTTCAATTATGTTTTGGGGGAGAGGGGGGGGGAGAGTTTCGCTTTGGGTTTCAGCTTCAGATCCGTTTCAGTAAATTCTGTTGGGGGGGATCAGCTTCAACTCGTAAACCGGAAGCTGGAACTGAAACGGTTTCAGTTTCAGATTCAATTTGGGTTTCAGTTTCAGTAAAACATCAACCCTAAACCCTAAATACCCTAAAGCTGGCCGGTATGGAGAGTTTCAGCTTGCGGTTGAGGATTCAGGGGCCTTCGGTCTTAAGACCCTGAAACCCTCAATCCCTAGGGTTTATGGTTTAGGTGCCTTAAGGGTCTCAGCCCCAAGCAAAGTGAGAAACCATCGATTGGGCTGCCTGTCGGGGAGGGTGGCCAACTTGAAAGTGGCGCCAGCAAGCCACAAGGAAGATCTGATGAGTTGGTGGCCGAAACCAAAACCCCAAAACCCAAACCCTAAACCCCGAACTTTAGGGTTTAGGGTTTAGGGTTTAGGGTTTAGCGCTAAATCCGAAACCCTACACCCAAAACCCTCTTTCTCGTGTTCTCTGACTGCTGTCCAGGTCCCCAAACGCACAAAATCAAGCTTCTCCTTGAGCTTCGTAAAATCTCTTGCAGAGGGAATCGGGGGGCCCTTCCGCAAAGAGCCTCAACTAAACATGGCCTCTGGGTTGCTGCTAAAGAGCATGTCAAGTACGCCTACCCGTTCTTGACAGGGTTCTTATAAGGGAGGGCGGTGCAAGGGGGTTCTGTGGGTTATATATGTCATATGTAACCTACCTACTACTCGCCAATACTCCCTAAGGCGGCTTCCTAAGCTCCCCCTACCTACCTACCCCCCATGAGCACCCCTCCAGTAAGAATCAAACAAGTCTTTTGCCCTATACTTTATGCCGAACGAATGAAAACCTAACGTAAGGTACGACAGTTAATTAGGGCCACCGACTATTGAGTAAAGTGTCCATGTGATGTCGCTTAAACCATGCATAGTGGAAATTTCTTGACATCTTAGCAGCAGCCCACAAGACCGTTGCATCGGCGGGAGGTCGAGAAATAAAAACGGCTGTGGGCGGCGGGAGGTCGAGAAATCAAAACGGCTGTGGGCTTCATGGCTCGAAGCAACATGCGGGCGCACTACCCTAAACCCTAAACCCCAAACCCTAAACCCTAAACCCTAAACCCGAAACCGCAGGGTCGCCACAGCCTCGTCTTCAAAAAGTGCACTCTCTGTCGACGCAACTTGCGTGAGGGGATGAGAGACATCGAACAATTATCTGCATCCTTTTTCTGCCGTTTACAGAGTTCTTAAGGGAGGGTTCAGAAGGGTGTGTAACCCAAGCTTAGCGAATGCTTCCCACTAATTACTCCCTACGCGCTCCCTAAGCTTCCTTATAAGGCTCCCTGGTGCCTACCCCTCATGAACCCCCCTCCCTGAAGAACACGAAAATCTTGTGATGAACTGGGGGGAGCAGGCAGGCATGTGCTCTGACGAAAGAAAAGGGTTTAGGGTTTAGGGTTTAGGGCTTAGGGCTTCGGGCTTGGGGCTTAGGGTTTAGGGTTTAGGTTTTAGGGTTTAGGGTTTAGATGCCAAACACAAAAAGACCACGTCCAGTTAAACAACCTGCCTGCCTCCCCCCCAAACTCCTCCCAACAGCATCTCGGAAAACCGAGCGGGCGACAGGGACACAGAGCCACGGTCCCTAAACCCTAAACCCTATACCCTATACCCTAAATCCTAAACCCTAAACCCTAAACCCCTTGGAGCCCTGTCACGCCAGCCATGGGACGGCCCGCAAAAGCCAGGAAACGACAAAGGTCCCCGCCCCTCGAGGCTCTTCGGTTCCAAGGGTTCTCGGATTTAGGGTATAGGGTTAGGGTTTAGGGTTTAGGGTTTAGGGTTTAGGGTTTAGGGTTTAGGGTTTAGGGTTTAGGGTTTAGGGTTTAGGGTTTAGGGTTTAGGGTTTAGGGTTTAGGGAGATTCGAGGGGGTTGGGGGAGCGTCGGTCCCTGAGATGTCGCCAGCCTTGCGAAGAGAAGCCTGCGCAGCGGTTCACCCAAGCACGAGATCCTCGGGAAAACCCGGTAGGAAGATGCGCCTTAAAAAATAGAATAGGGGAGGGTCATCAGAGTGTATATTACAAGGAACCATACGGGAATACTACTCTTTTTGTAATTATTCCGAGCCCTATATATACCTTAGTTGCTGAGTTCATAAGCCCCCCCCAAAAAAGCGCACACTATCAGTTCTGCAGGAAATCTTATTCTCCCAAAGAAGTGCAAAGCGCACTCATTCACCTAAACCCTAACCCTAAACCCTAAACCCTAAACCCTAAACCCTAAACCCTAAACCCCTACTGCGTTACAGTGGTCATATACGTATCAGGCTTGAAGACTCTCAGCTGCGCAGGGTGGGGCCTCATCATGATGGTCATGGCACACGCATGCAGTCACCATGCCTAGGGCTTAGGGGGTTTAGGGTTTAGGGTTTAGGGTTTAGGGTTTAGGGCTAGGGTTTAGGGTTTGGGGTTTGGGGTTTGGGGCTTGGGGCTTAGGGCTTAGGGCTTAGGGCTTAGGGCTTAGGGCTTAGGGCTCCCTACTCTAAGGGTCCATGTACCTCATTATGATGTGCTTGGGCCCGAGAGTCCCTAACTATGGAGATACGCTTCAGGGCCCAAGTATTCCTATTTAGGTACATGGACCCTTAGGGCTAAGGCTCCAAATTGCCAATGTAGGTCGTATTTGTATACGTGGAGCCCCAGGCATGCGAGTGACTCATAGTGCACACGTGCCTGCACGTGGTGACGTCGCCTGCGACATACACGCAAGCCTGACATCATCTGTCGGTCCATGCTGGGCAGGTGTGGAGCGGCCCGTGGGCTGTTCCGGTGAACACCTCTGAAATCCTCTACGACTCTATGCCATTCTAAGCCGCGAGGTGCGACGGCAGTTGAACTCGGGCTTTAAAGCGCCCCAAGTCGCCAGAGAGTCTTACAGGACATGGTACCGGCAAACAACGAAAAAAGACACCATAGCAACGATAGACAATATGTGAGCTCCATGGATGTCCGCCGGTTTGTGTTCGATGTCCGTCGGTCCGCCGACGGTACGGGAGGGTGACAGGCAGGGGACGTGACGGACGAAGGGGACGGGTAATGGTAGCAATAGAAATACTCGTGATAACAGTAATACTACTAATTCTAACAATGTAGAAATACCAGTAATAAACAAATGCTAACAATGAATGCAATAATTATAACAATGATAATAACAGTACTAGTCGCAAAAACAGTAGTAGTAGTAGTAGTAGTAGTAGTAGTAGTAGTAGTAGTAGTAGTAGTAGTAGTAGTAGTAGTAGTAGTAGTAGTGGTGGTGGTGGTGGTGGTGGTGGTGTAGTAGTAGTAGTAGTAGTAGTAGTAGTAGTAGTAGTAGTAGTAGTAGTAGTAGTAGTAGTAGTAGTAGTAGTAGTAGTAGTAGTAGTAGTAGTAGTAGTAGTAGTAGTAGTAGTAGTAGTAGTAGTAGTAGTAGTAGTAGTAGTAGTAGTAGTAGTAGTAGTAGTGGTAGTGGTAGTGGTAGTGGTAGTGGTAGAGGTAGTGGTAAACGTCGTAGTAGTCGTCGTCGTAGTAGTAGTAGTAGCAGTAGCAATAATCCTAGACAGACTAAACAAAGAAATAGTAGTCATAATAATCCAAATAGTAATCATAACAATATTACTGAGAATGGTGATAAACGTGATACAAGTCATAATGGTATTCATAGTGATACTAGTAATAGTACTAATAGTAAGAATAGTAATAAGCAGAATAGTAATACTAGCAATAATAGCAAATAAGATTAATAGCAATAAGAACAAGAATAGTAATCATGAAAAGAACGGTCGTCATAGCAATAAATTGCAATAATAACAGACATAGTGGTGATAATAAAACGAAGAAGAAGAAGGGCAATACTAGGAATAATGCCCAGTAATCATCGCAATACGAATTGTAATAATGAGATTAATAGTAATACCAGAAATATATCTAAAAATACTAGAATAAACAAACCAGTAGCATAGATATACTAGCCATTATCATGGAAACATTAGAAATAACAGAAAACATAGCAACCATAGAAATAATAGTAAAGTTTCGATGTTCGGCGGCAGTTTTTCGTGGTTCGCCGGTACCCACCCGTCTTCCTGTGCACGTACTCTGTGCTGAAAAATCATCCCGGAATAGCAACTGCTTCCTTGAGCAGTGCACCACCCGTTGGATTGAACAAAAAAAATGCATGCAGCCAGCTGCATGCTCGAACGTCTTGCGGAGCTCTCAGACACCCTGGACCCTAAACCCTAAACCCTAAACCCTAAACCCTAAACCCTAAACCCTACGACGCAGCGCTTCGATCTCCTGTCCGAGGCGGCCCTGGAATTGGTCAAGGCCCAGGCGGTGTGCAGCCAGGCTGAGGAGGGCTCCGAAGGACATCCTTACCATCACTTTGCTGAGCTTCTGCGCCTGGCTGTCCATGGCCGCGTCGGCAGACTCTGATTCTCCATGCCTATACTCCCCTTAGAAGCTTAATAAACATACTATTTTTGACTTGGGTTTTAAATAAATACCAAAGAATAGTTCCCAAGAGGGATATAGATGCAAGGAGTGCAGCTCTTGCTCCAGGAGGATGAGAACGCCTGCTGCCTTGTCCGCCATGCCGGTCGCCTCGGCACGCTGGCGCAGGGCGCGCAACACCTTACTGGCCCAAAACCCAAGGAAATAATAGTTGAAACTTTCAGAATAAAGTACCTGAAAGATCGGAAGCCCACAAGTTGAAAAGTTGGGTGTTGAGCCAGTAAGACACCAAGGAAAGGAGCTGGGCCTGGGTGATCTCGTCCAGTGTGGTGCGCTGCTTCTTGTCCGGCTTGGGGCCGCGGTCCGAATGATGGCCATGGCAGTAGGTGCACGCGGCACCACTTTGACAAAGCCCCCGGTTGAAGTACACGCATGGCCGGCGGCACATCTCGGGATGCCCCACGCTCCCTTCGCTGAAGGCGCGAACGTCAGGAACCTGAGGTAGAGGACTCAGATCACCCTGGGCCGAGCCTGGAATCGCTTCGGGCTGAACCGGCTGAACCTCTTCCGCAGCGGTCGGCTCTGTGGCATTGCTCGTTGTGGCCTTTTGGTTGATTTCTTCCGTCAGCTCTGCCATTCTATGGGACAGGTTCTCCACATAGCCTTGCAGCTCTCGCTCCTCAACCTCGGCAGCGCACTCCAGCGTCCTCACGCGCGGGGCTGGAGTGCTGGCGGAACGCATGGTGGAACGTGACAGCTCGAAAGGGTCCTCCCAGACGTCGATGAAAGTCCCCCGATACTGAAGCTCCAACGCCATGAGTTGCCCTCTGCAGCAGCCGCCAGCCGACAAGCTGTACCTAGCGATCGCCACAAGGTCTACCAGGAGTCCTGAACTTCGGCCAATATGCAGGGTATGTTCAACCAAAACCCTCAACCTAAACCCTAAACCCTAAACCCTAAACCCTTTTTCCACCTAACCCTAAGCCCAAACCGTACACACTCTAAGCAGATCAGCCGGCTTCGGGTTCGGGGTCACGGAGTCGAGTCGTAGTTGGCTGAGGGCTGTGGCTAAACTACTCCTGAGGGTCCTGGGGGTTTTGGGGTTTTGGGGTTTTAGTTTGGGTTCAGCATCTCAAGTCCAGGCACTCACTAGTCCGGCAGCGTGTTTGTGAAAAAGGAGTTTTACCCACCCGGAGAATCCTATAACATTCAGTAATAACCCGTTCACTATCCATTCCCAGCAGACTTTTAAAGTCTAAGACTCGAAGCCCAGTAGGCCCCAAACCCTAAACTCAGCCCCAAACCTTAGGGCCTAAACCCTAAGCGCCAAACCCTGCGGCCCAAAACCCTATTCCGAAACCCTGTACCCAAACATTAGGGTCCTAGACCTATAGGAACATAAACCCTATGCCCCAAACCCTGGGGCCCTAAATGCTATTCCCCAAACCCAAAGGCCCAAAACCCTATGCCCCAAACCCAGGAGTTCCTAAACCCTAAACCCTAAGCCCTAAACCCTAAATTCTAAACCCTAAATCCTAAGCCCTAAATCCTAAACCCTAAATCCTAAACCCAAAACTCTAAACCCTCAACCCGAAACCCTAAACCCTAAGCCCTAAACCCTAAGCCCTAAACCGTAAACCCTAAACCCTAAACCCTAAACCCCCAACCCTAAACCCCCAAACCCCAAACCCCAAACCCCAAAACCCCAAACCCTAAACCCCAAACCCTAAACCCTAAACCCTAAACCCTACAGCACGCCGAGGGCCGCGGCTTCTCCTCCACCGCAGGGTCGCGGTGGCCAGCCAGGATCGGCTCGATGTGGTGGTGCGACCTATGCAAGTCCCTAAACCCTAAACCCTGTACCTGAGTAGGAACACTTGGGCCTGAAAGTACCTCCTATTTGGGGACATTTAAGCCCCAGTGCAGAATAATAAGGTACATGGACGCTAAACCCTAAACCCTAAACCCTAAACCCTAAACCCCTAATAAGGCTATGAGGGTTTTGAGAACCACGCGCAATCTCTTTGGCGATCTCCTCGACTTCCACATCCGTCGGCGTCCGGTTCGTGTACCTGACGGTTTGGAGTTCAGGGTTGGAGTTCAGGGTTTAGGGTTTAGGGTTTAGGGTTTAGGGTTTAGGGTTTAGGGTTTAGGGTTTAGGAGTTCAGGGTCCACCTAAAACAACGCAAAAACCGATAGAAAAGGGAAGCAATCCCTATAGGACTTCTAAGGGCCTACTGGTTGGGTTACTAGAAACCCTGACAATTGAAAGTACAGGGGATACCATCCCAAACTACACTTCAACCCTAAAACCTGAAACCTCCCTTTCTTTAGGCTATAGGGTCCTAAAAGGGGCGGGGGGGTTCATGAGGCGTAGGAGCTAGGGACCCTTCGGGATTCTTAAAGGAGCCTTATACATAGTAGTGGAGAGTATTTTAGGGAAGCTTGGGTTCCCTTTAAGGGCCCCCGATTTTCTAAGGGCGCCCCCTCACGAAAGGAATGCTCGTAGGGCCTAAACCCTAAACCCTAAACCCTAAACCCTAAACCCTAAACCCTAAATCCTAAACCCTAAACCCTAAACCCTAAACCCTAAACCGTTGGGGAAGGCTCTGGAGAGGCTCTGGAGAGGCTCCAGGGCTTGGGGGCGCCAGTGCTCTGCTCGTCATGGAGAGGAGGGGCGGAACCCATGATCTCCTAGCGGTATGTGCATATATGTTTTTTGCATATATATATATATATTGCATATATGCATACATGTACATATTATGTATATGTACCGACTATATCGTGGGTAGCATATATATATACACACACACCATGCCCATGTATCTGGGCCATTTTCGGCTCAAGCAGAAGCCCAGGTAATACTTACCAAGCCGTTGTTCAGGACGTAACATGATCTCAAGGAGCTACGTCGGCCTCCTCATTGCCTGCCACGGTCCGAAGCCTGCAATGCCAGGATTTCCTGCGTAGTCATCTTGCACACCAGCCCGGAGAGCCAGAAGCCGTTGCTTCTGTCTCTGCACCGTGTCAGGCAGGGCGACTTGTTCAGGAAGCCATAGGGTGTGGAGCCGGAGATATCAGATTGCATAATGTTGAGTCGAGATGCGCCTATAACCCTCCAAGCTTATAATGGCAGCCCTAAACTTGAACACCGTGATCATCATCGGGATCCACTCCTCCACCCACCCACCCACCCTTGACAATTCAGCAAGGCCTGCTGGCCCGCTGTGCATCCGCGGGCTGCGTGGCATCCGCCAAAGCCTCTTTCGGGATTGTTTACCCTAAACCCTAAACCCTAAACCCCTTAACCCCTTAACCCCTTAACCCTATAACCCTATAACCCTAAACCCTAAACCCTAAACCCTAAACCCTAAACCCTAAACCCTAAACCCAGTAGGGTCCCCAAACCCTAAACCCTATGCTCAGGGAGGCAAACCTGTCGCGTGCCAGATTCGGGGCTGAGACCTTCAGATGCTTCAGGGAAGAGCAGCGGGCCAAACGAAACTTGGCGCAAGGAAAGCATCTCAGGCAAGACCCCGATATTGCGCCCTCTCGTCTCCCAACTTCTTGCGGCTGCACACCCACCAGCCCGTCAAGTGACGTATTTGCAACCCTGAACCCTAAACCCTGAACCCTAAACCCTGAACCCTAAACCCTAAACCCTAACCCAAATCCTTTTTGCCCTTTATCGTGAGGCCAGCGCCTCAGACCTCCGCTTCTGCCGGCTTAGGCACGGGGGAAGGGCGCTGTGCTCCTGGATTTAGGATTTAGGGTTTAGGGTAAAAGGTTTAGGGTTTAGGGTTTAGGCCGGGTTTTTGGGTTTTTGGGGTTTTGGGGTTTAGGGTCGAGGGTTTATAGAGTTTGAGACTTAGGGTGTAGGGATAGGGGGTTTAAGGCTTTGGGGTTTGGGTTTTTGGGTTTGTCCTGGTTTTGGGGTTTAGGGTTTGTAGTGTTGGGGTTTGGGCCTTTTTGGATTTGGGGTCAAGGGTTGAGGGAGTAGGGTTTATAGGGTTTACAGGGTTTGGGGTTTGGGGTCTGGGATTTTGGGGTTTACGGTTTTTGGGTTTGGGCCTGTAGGACATCGGGGTTCAGTGAGAGTTTCGGGGGCGATCGCAGGCTTGGGTACATGTCATGATAAGCCGCTGCAAAATGAACTTCTCCTTCAGAAACAAAATTCCGTGAAATGTCTTCAGTCTTCCACCTGACGTATCGACTCACTGGCTAAAGTGCGCATCGACCAGCCACGCAGCTCTCGGCATGAAAGAGGGCAGCCAGGCTGTTGCTTGTGGGCTCATTGCTATGATGCTCGGCCACGCTTCGCTCGGATCACCCTACAAGTACTTTGGAAAAGAAGACATACTTTCTAGGGTTAAGTAGCAACACTAGGAACCCAGAACCAACAAAAGTACTAAAGTATGGTACTCCAAAACCCAGATCAGGTTTGGCGAACAACCCGTAAAACAACCGGTATCACTCGACAGGGGATTGCCATTGACCGGGTCACGGGTAAATCGCCCGTCTGGCACGCGGGGCAAGCTTGGCAAGGGTTGGGTTTGGGCACGACACGGGCTGAGCAGAAGCCAGAAATCACGGATCTGGCACGGCTCTGGCTGACAAAAACAAATCCGGTCAAACCAAGGGGGTTGAGCCCCCGCAAACCCTGCTTGACCCCACAAACCTGGGTTGGGCTCTAGAGGGTGTGGGGTTTAGGATTCAGGGTTCGAATGCTAGGTTCAAGTTTATACAGGAACCTCTCAAAGGGCAAGTGCGAAGACAATGTATTTTGGGGCACCCTATGCCACATCGAAGGGGCCACCCTACGAGCATAGCTTAGAGACCTGGCCTTGGGACGTATGAACCCTAAACCCCAAACCCCAAACCCCAATCCCCAATCCCCAAACCCTAAACCCTAAACCCTAAACCCTAAACCCTAAACTCTAAACCCTAAACCCTAAACCCTAAACCCTAAACTCTAAACCCTAAACCCTAAACCCTAAACCCTAAACCCTCAACCCCACACCTATAAATCGGATTATAGTCTAGGGCCCAGCTGCAGGGCTCAATCAGTCCCCAAGGTCTAGGGCTTTGCCCAACCCCCCCCCCCCCCCCCCCCCCCTAAAGTGCCTCCTAAAACGCGTCTGATGGGTAGTTTGTTGGGCACGCAGGGCATCTTCAAAGGGCACTTGCCGGGGTATTCGGTTTAGGGTTAAGGTTTAGGGTTTAGGGCTTAGGGCTTAGGGTGAAAGCCTGCGAGAGGGCCAAGCGAAAAACATGGATCGCTTTGTTCCTTTCGCGTCACTTGCTTCGGGATTTGCACGCTTTACGCTGAACCATAAGCAGATGTTTGACTCATTTTGGGATTGCGTTGGAATCCTGAACCCTCGATCCTACATCCTAAGCCCTAAGCACTCGAGCCAAGCCAACATCAACAAGAAAGCCCCGTCCCCATCCACGAGCGTCTTGGGATTTGCCTGCTGGCACAGGGTTAGGGTTGAGGGTTCAGGGTTTCGGGCTTTCCCCCCAAACCCTGAAACCCTCAAACCCTAAAACCCTAAAACCCTAAAGCCCTGAAGCCCTGAAACCCTAAAACCCTAAAATCCTAAAACCCTAAAACCCTCGACCCGAAACCCCCGTTAAGGTTTCGGGGTCTGGTGCTCTTAGGGTTCAACACTCTTCCACTCGCTCCTTCATGAGGCAGGAAAGGCAAAACAACTCTGCATCCCACCGACGAACTCTAACCTTACACCCTAAACCCTAAACCCTAAACTATCTTGCTCCAGGAGTATTTCGTCACATGAATTTGGGGGGGGGGGG